ACAGGCAGATCAGCATCCCAGGCCTTGGACAGCTACGCGGCGGGTGGGGACCTGGATCCCAGCATCGCCGCCCACGGGCGCCCAAACCTCGGCCTCCGCTTCGATCCGCTCCCCTGCCACCCACCCACGCCCACTTACCAGCCCGGCGGCTCCCCGTTGTCCCCAAGTCCCACCCCCACCGCTCTGCCCCAAAGCTGAGAGGCCTTGCCTGCCCCAGCCCACCCCCTCCCCTGCCTCGGCTCCCTTTCAGGACAAGATCCACGCCCCTACCCGTCGCCCCCTCGGGCTCCAGGCGACCAGCCTCAGGAACAGCGGGCTGCCGCGGGCTCCAGATGCGGGGACCCGAGCGAACGCCCGAGGCTCCCCGCTGGCCTCCAGGGCCCTCCCCGGGCCTCCCCCGAGGGATGCCGGCACCTGCCGGGAGGAAGAGCCACCCGGCTGCTGCGATCGGGCTCCGGGAGACAAAGAGCCGAGTCCCAGGCCCGCCCCCTCCCCCAGCCGGGCCCTGGCCCGCTCGCGGCCGCTCCACCTGCTCGCGGCGCGCTCACCTCGGCTCCGGCCTCCCGCCGCTCCACGCAGGGTCGCCTGGGGTGGGGCCCGGCGCAGCGCCGCGGCGGTCGCGGGCGGCGAGCAGGCGAGGGAAGGGGGCTGCGGGCGGCGGCTTCGGAGGAGCAGGGCGGCCCCGCCCCTCGGCCGCGGGCGGGGGAGCCGGGGGCGCGCTCTCGAGCCAAACCCGGGATCGCGGCTGCGGGAGCGCGCGGAGGGATCGGGGGGAGACGCACGTTGGAGAGAGGGGCGGCTTCTCCGCGGTCCACGAGAGGCCTGTTTTCCCGGCTGCTCCTGAGGACACCAGAGACAGACACGACGGGCGGGACTGAGGGCAAATCCCTGGGGTCCCCCACCTGTCCCCCCAACACATACACCTGCCCCGACCCCCACCCCAAATGCCCGGCGAGCAAACACCGCCTGGACTCGCATAGGCTGGGCCCTGGCAACCAGGAGGCGGGACCACCGCGCCTCCGGCCCACCGACCAATCCGGCCGCTTGGTGTCCTTGGTCCCTGTCCTCGCCTTCGCGTCTGCGGAGCCCGGGCCGCCCAGGGGCCCTGGGGCCATCCGCCTCCCTCATACCCGAAGGTTTTTCCCAGACCCCAGAAAAACCCCTAATCGGGTGGAGGGGAGTTGGGAGGGGGATACTGGGGGAATGCAGCCCCGGGAATTTCGGGGATGCCAGATCGACCCCAAATTTTTGGGAAGAGAGGAAGAAGGAAAGGAGAGAAAGGGAAGGCGACGGGAGACACAGAGAATGGTGAGAGGTGACCCATCTTTCTGCAGGGCAGAGCACCCCGACCCTCCACACCCTCCTAGCTCTCAGGAGGTCCTGCAGAGTCCAGCTTCCTGGGGACAAGGTTATGTCAGGCTGGGAGGGGTCATGAAGGAGCAGAGAAGATCCTCAAAGGGGATGGCCATCCTCACTGCCCTGTGCTGGCCACCTGATGAGCCCCCCTGTACTTCGCCTCATACCTGAGGATCTGGCCTTGTCACCTCTGTTGGCCAAGTCCCCACCTCAGGCTACCTCAGTGTGCCAGAGTCAGCCACTCCTTACCCCATCCCAAAGAACCAGCTCCCTCTGCATCACCGCTGCTCCAGGACGCACACATGCATGCAGCTCATCCCCTCCTAGAACTCAGGGGGCCTCCATGCACAGGAGACAGAAAGATGGACTTGTCATCTAGGGGTGATGAGGGGGGACATTGTGCCCATGTGAGGTTCTGGAAATGGAGAACGGAGAACAGAGAAAGATGGCAGACTCCAGACTGAATGCCCTGCTTTCACCTCCGGATTGGATCATTTATTCTAGGTCTCATCTCCACCAATCCTCACCTGGTGAGCCCCTTGTGGCATGACACCAGCCTGGGGGCCCTGCCCACCCACCAACCAACAGGGCCCTCCTGCCAAGTCACATCCTCACACCCACCTGCCCAGAGGCCTGTCTTCTTGCCTTCTATGGTGCAAGGGCTCCTCCAAGGCTACCTGAAGCCATCCTGCGTTTAATTAGGATCTGGATCTGCCCTCTCATAAAAACACTCCCCAAACCTCCATCAACAGGGGGACAAATAATGCAAATCAAAGTTGGCAGGCGCGGTGGCTCATGCCTGTAGTCCTAGCACTCTGGGAGGCCGAGGAAGGAGGATCGCTTGAGGTCAGGAGTTCAAGATCAGCCTGAGCAAGAGTGAGACCCTATCTCTGCAAAAATTAGAAAAAATAACTAGGCATGGTGGCCCACGTCTGTAATCCCAGCTACTCGGGAGGCTGAGATAAGAGGATCGCTTGAGCTCAGGAGTTTGAGGTTGCTGTGAGTTAGGCTGACACCACGGCACTCTAGCTGGGGCAACAGAATGAGACTCTGTCTCAACAAAAAAAATAAAATAAAAAATAAAAATGGTTAAGATGGTAAATTTTATGTAATGGGTATTTAACCACAACTTTTGTTTAAGCTGGACATTGTCATGTGGAAAGGCTTACACACTAGCAATGGGAGAGGAAGTGGGCAGCCTCTTTGGAGAACAGTTGAAAAGCACGTTGAATATGTTTGTCCTGTGACTTCGTCATTCCACTCAAGCATCTATACCTGCAGCAGGTGCATCTATACCTGCAGCAGGTGCCATACCGCCCCCTCTGCATTCCTGAGCATACACAGTCCCGTGGATGAGGAAGCCAGAAGTGCCAGGGAATTAACACCCCTCCACCCACCCCCTTCTCCAGAGCAGCCCTCACACAATCACAGACAGGGACCTCAAGTCCCTTGCCCCTTGGGGGGGACAACTTGGGGGTGTGACCTACACCATCTCTGACATCTCCAGCAGAATTAAGCCCTGGTCGCCCACAGTAGCAACCGGCTCGATCACCCTCATGAACGCTTGCTTAGTGGCTTCTTTCTCCCTCCTTCCTGTGTCACTTCCTCATTGCCCTAGTGGTGCCTCCCGGGATAATTTTCTAGGTAAACTATTTACATCCAATACCTCATCTCAAGGTCTGAGCCCAGAGGGGCCCAAACCAAGACAATACCTGATCAATCACACATCAGCATTTATTGAATTGTCCACTGTGTACCGGTGACAAGTGTGCAGCTACAGGGCTTATAGGCTAGTGACGTCAGACTCTTCTTGCACAAGCAAAGCAATATGTATCGAGATGCTTCTTTCAGCATATAATTCAAACAAACCTCCAGGGTGTGGATTCCTGGGATAGAAAAATTCAGTAGAAAGAAAACAACCTTTCTCGAATGTCTCCTCCCTAAAAAGGTCTTCAGGAACGCCTTGTCCCTTGCTACCACATCACCCTGCATGTCACAAACCAACATTACCCTGTCCCTTCATCTGTTTGTGTGCTTCGTGTATGTCTCTCTCGCCCACCAGGACAGAAGCTCTCAGAAAGTAGGGGCCTTCCTTATTTTATCCTGCAAGGAAGCTTCTTCAGGGGCTGGCACACAGTAGGTGCTCTTAAAGATCTGTAATCCCAGCACTTTGGGAAGCCGAGGTGGGAGGATCGCTTGAGGGCAGGAGTTGGAGACCAGCCTGAGTGACGTGACAAGACCCCATCTCTACAAAAAGTTGTTTTAAGGCCAGGCACGGTGGCTTACACCTGTAATCCTAGCACTCTGGGAGGCTGAGGTGGGAGGATTGCTCGAGGTCAGGAGTTCAAGACCAGCCTGAGCAAGAGTGAGATCCCATCTCTACTAAAAATAGAAAAGAAATTAGCTGGACAACTAAAAATATATAGAAAAAATTAGCCAGGCATGGTGGCGCATGCCTTTAGTCCCAGCTATTTGGGAGGCTGAGGCAGGAGGATCGCTTGAGCCCTGGAGTTTGAGGTTGCTGTGAGCTAGGCTAATGCCATGGCACTCTAGCCCGGGCAACGGAGTGAGACTCTGTCTCAAAAAAATAATAATAATAATTGTTTTAAAAATTAGTCAGGTGTGATGGGACATACCGTAGTCCCAGCAACTCAGGAGGCTGAGGCAGGAGGCTCGCTTGAGCCCAGGAGTTCAAAGTCACAGTGAGCTGTGGTCATGCCACCGCACTCCAACCTCGGTGACAGACAGAGTGAGACCCTGTCAAAAAATAAAAATAATAAAGATCTACTAACTACACAAGGAAAGTTTGTCTTCGGACTGCCTGGGGTCAGCATGCCCACTGAGTCCCTGGCTTAAGGGGTTCCAACTGGGGCGTCTTTTTCCCTGGGGGGGAAGGGTCTCACTCTCCCACCCTACCCCAGGTGGGAAGTTTCCACTGAGGCCTTCCAGACCGAGAGTGATCAATGTTCAACTGCACACGTTTGCTCCCCTGAGATTAGGCCCAGGACTTCCTAGGTGGGGAGAAGAAAGTGGGGGCGGGGAGGAGTTTCCTTTAGAGAACTTCATCTCCAGCTCCCTAAATCCTCCAGGCCCTGGGACCCTCAGGACCGGGGAGCAGCTTGCCCCTCTCTTTGAGGGCAGGCCACAAGGCTGGGCAGGGACAGACAGGAGAGCCCCCTCACTCTGCTCAGCCCAGCTCCTGCGCCTTGGCCAGAGCAGGAAGGGAGAAGCTGTCCACTTTCCTCTCCCCCCTACTCTCGCCCCAGGGCACCTGAAGACTTTGGTCACCTGTGCCTTGGTTGGCCTTTGAGGCCAGGTGTCTGGGCCTTGGGGAAGTTGGAGGAGGCCCTTCCACACCTTCCTGACCAGGTAGGTGTATGCAGCCTGGCTTTCCGAAGGGCGGCCACAGGATGGTTTCGGGAGCCCAGGGCCTCCAGCTCGCTCCTGTTGCCCCCGGCGGCCGGGGTCTAGCTGGATCGCAGCGTTCCGAGACCCTTGTCCCCGTCTGCCCAGCGGGATTGAGATCCCTGCCTGCCCGGGACCCGCCAGGAGCGGGGTCGACCTGAGAGCTCCCGCCACCAGGCGGGGCGACAGTCCCGGGGGCGGGGCGGCTCTCGGGCTCCTGTCCCGCCCGCGCTGACTCACCCGCGCCCGCCGGCCCGCCCGGGAACTCTGCGGGAGTCCCGGCCGCCCAGCTCCCAGGGACCCAGGAGTTGTCGGGCCCAGCGTGCGTCCGGGAGCGGTGAGTTAGGCGGTTCTCCGCCGCTGGGGACGCCACGGAGGTGGCGGGGTGGGGGTCCGGCTGGGAGCCCGGGTCTGGCCGAGGGGAGGACGCGCCCCAGGTGCGCGGGTGCTGTGGCCTGGGCGGGCCGTCCCGGGCGGGAGCAGGGGTGGGGGTGGAGGGCGCCGGCAAACGGAGGCCCGCCCAGCCCCAGGGGTGCCCGTCCTGGGAGCGCAGGGTGGGGGCGGGTGTCTGCGAAAGTAACAAAGTGAAGATCAACAGTCTGGGGTCGACCTTGGTCGGGGAGTGGTCTTGACAACTTTCCCTTCTCCTTGGCCTCTGGGGAGACATCGACAACTCATCCCTGAGAGCCCCTCAAAGCCCCACAATCGTTAACACTGGGGTCCTCCCCAGTCTGTTCTCTGGAGCTCTTGATCTTGAAGACTGTGGACTTTTAAGTCTGCTATCAGGGGCTGCTGGGAAAAGTACTAGGCTGGGAGTCCACAGGCCTGGGGCCCTGTCCAGGATCAGCTACTAAGGGGCAGTGATCCTTCCGCCACCCTAGACCTCAGTTTCCCCGTTGTGTAAAAGACAGAGGTCGGACCTTGTGTTCTCCAAGACCCCTCTCAGGGCTGTGGGTGGAGAAGGTGCTGGGCAGCCAGGAGCAGCCACCACCGCACCCACCACCGCCATCACCTGGTACCACCCAGCAGCAAAAAATCCTCCACCAGACTTTTGGAGGCAAGTGGCTTGAGATTAGGGGAGAGGCAGTGCACCCAGTGATGGGTGGGGGGGCGTGTGGTCCTAGGTTACAAGATGTCCCCTTCGTGGCCTGCTGGAAACACCACTCTCAGTTCCTTTTTCTTTTTCTTTTTTTTTTTCTTTTTTCCTTTTTGAGACAGGGTCTCGCTCTGTCCCTCAGTCTGGAGTGCAGTTGCATGATCATAGCTCACTGCAGCCTCTAACTCCTGGGCTCAAGCGATCTTCCTGCCTCAGCTTCCTGAGTAGCTAAGACTACAGGTGTGCACCACCACATCTGGCTAATTATTTTTTTTATTTTATTCTCCCAAAGGAGGAATTTTTTTAAAAAATTTTGTTAGAGATGGGGTCTTGCTATATTGCCCAGACTGGTCTCAAACTTCTGGCCTCAAGTGATCCTCCCACCTTGGTCTCCCAAAGTACTGGGATTACAGGCATGAGCCACCACATCTTTTGGCAAAGACACTGCATCTGAACAAAGTGGATGCAATCCCACCGCTGGGACTTGTGGGTCAGAGGGTCTAGCTCTCAAATGTCACTTGTAACTGTGAAAGCTGGAGCAAGTTATTTCTTTCCCCTGAATATGGAAAGCAACATCACCGACACCCACGCTCCCAGAGCTGGGACAAAATGAGGCATCAAGAAGATCTGGTGGCGTAAGTTGAGTGTGGTTCTTGTTGTTGTTTTTCCCTGCCCCTCCTCCAATTTTATAAGCCCCTCTTTCCGGGCCTTCCTTCTGTGCGAATTTAATGGCAGGTTTGGGATGATCAAGTTTGAGTCACAGAGACAGATAATGATAACCCCCGTGTCTGCCTCTGATTCTGTCTGTATCCACCTTGTTCCGTGGGAGCCACTGGGGGCTCTGGGCCCTTTTGCGTTTGTTTCCACCTTCTTGCCTCTGACTGTGCACCGGGGAAGGCAGGTGGCAGAGCTTACACCAGGCATGCAAGCGTGGGAAGTTGACCGCTGCCCCTGTGGGTGGCATTTCTGCCCCAGCCCCCGGAGTTACTGTTCTTAGGTAAAGCAACTGAGAACTGAAAGAAGATGTTAGGGCTGGGCATGGTGGCTCACGCCTGTAATCCTAGCACTCTGGGAGGCCGAGGCAGGAGGATCGCTCGAGGTCAGGAGTTCGAGACCAGCCTGTGCAAGAGCGAGACCCCGTCTCTACTAAAAATAGAAAGAAATTAATTGGACAACTAAGAATATATAGAAAAAATTAGCCGAGTATGGTGGCGCATACCTGTAGTCCCAGCTACTCTGGAGGCTGAGGCAGGAGGATCACTTGAGCCCAGGAGTTTGAGGTTGCTGTGAGCTAGGCTGACACCATGGCACTCTAGCCCAGGCAACAGAGTGAGACGCTGTCTCAAAAAAAAAAAAAAAGAAGAAAGAAAGAAAGAAGATGTTAGGACCCCCGAGTTCTGGGTCTCCTCTCAGCTCAATGTGTGTGTTTGGACTTTGTACCCTTGTGCACAATTGTACACACTCAGGCCCGGTGCGGTGGCTCACACCTGTAATCCCAGCACTTTGGGAGGCCGAGGCTGGAGGATCCCTTGAGGCCAGGATTTTGAGACCAGCCTGGACAGCATAGCAAGACCTCATTTCACAAAACTAAGATGTGCATGCCCCACAATGCCCCCAGGTGTCCCTCCTGATGGCTGCAGTGTACAAATTCATTCCCTGGGGATTGCTGTGCTGCCCTAGGCATGTTTCTCCCAGATAAGATACTGGTGTCTGAGGCTGTCTAATACCCTGGGGCATTTTTACTTGGCTTTTTGCTTACAACGGGGAGTGCTTAGGTAGCGATGGGGCCACTGTATGAGGGATCCTGTGCTCTGGACACCCCCTGGCATGTCTGGTTCTGGGTGAGTCACACGGCCTGAGTCAGGGGACCCACGGCATTTCAGGCTTACATGGAGAGTCCCTATGTGGGCACGCTTGTGCCTGCCCCTGTAACTGCAGATCCCCCAGATTAAGGTGGGCGCCATCGAGGGGATTAACAGGCGTGGTTGATGTGGACAGCCTGGCCCTCAGCCTGGTGGGCGGGGCCTATGTCTTGTATCACCACTGCCACCCCTACCATGTCTCCATCCAGTGTCCCCTCAAAGCCTTTGGAGGACACAGGGACCGAAAAGGGTGGCATGGAGGTATCAGAGTGGAGGCAGAGGTGTGGGTCAGGGGTCAGGATTGCCCTAGGTTCTCCCTGGAGAGATGAGTGGAAGGCCAGAGAGGACAGGCTGGCAGCCCAGATGCCTCCCTTCCTGGCCCAGCTTGTGCCCAGCTAACAGGTTAACTGGATAAGGACAGGAGGTTCCCAGGAATCTGTATAAGAAGACAGGGGATGGCCAGGCTTAGTGGCTCATGCCTGTCATCCCAGTGGGCTTCGGGAGGCTGAGGCAGGAGGATCACTTGAGTCCAGGAGTTTGAGACCAGCCTGGGCAACCTTGCAAGACCCTGTCTATACTACAAAAAATTTTAAAAATTAGCCAGGTGTGGTGTGGTGGTGCACACCGGTAGTCTCAGCTACTCGGGAGGCTGAGGCAGGAGGATCGCTCGAGCCCTGAAGTTTGAGGCTGCAGTGAGCTATGATCACATCACTGTACTCCAGCATGAGGGGCAGAGCGAGACCCTGTCTCTAAAAGAATATAAAAAAAAAGAAGAAGACATGGCTGGGCGCGGTGGCTCATGCCTGTAATCCTAGCACTCTGGGAGGCCGAGGTGGGAGGAACGCTTGAGCTCAGGAGTTCGAGACCAGCCTGAGCAAGAGCAAGACCCTGTCTCTATAAATATGGAAAAATCAGCTGGGCATGGTGGCCCAAGCCTGTAATCCCAGCTACTTGGGAAGCTGAGGCAGGAGGATCCCTTGGGCCCAGGAGTTTGAGGTTGCTGTGAGCTAGGATGACATCACTGCACTCTAGCCTGGGTGACAGAGTGAGACTCTGTCTCAAAAAAAAAAAAAGAAGGAGGAGATATAGACTGGGGGAGCTTGGATGGCACAGAAGTGGGCCCCACCTTCTCCTTCCGCCTCCAACCTGGGAAAGTGGCTGCCTGCCTGGGAGATTGTCCCACGCTTCCATGTGACTCGTGCCTGGCCCATCTATATCTACAATAATGATACCTTGGTCTCAAAGGAAACCCAGGGACAGACAGAGTGGCTGGCCAGCCGGGAGCTTGGCAGCCTCACCCATCCAAGTCCCCGTGGTAGGTGTCACCCCAAGAGCTTTTCGTTTGTAGATCGTCCACCCCTTGGACATGCGTCTTGGAGACCAGGTCTCTGGCTTCTACCTCTGGGCCTGCCCCCACCCCCCAGGGCTGAAGAGTCCAGAATGGCCACTCCCTGCCCCTGAGGCCCTGGTAACCAGAGCCTGGCTCCAGCCGGCTTTTCCAGTTGCAGGTTGGAGGTGGTGCCCGGAGCGCCCCTGGAGCGGGTGGGGAGGCCCACGCCCCGGAAGTCCTGAGCCTTGGGCCACTCTCAAGTCTGGTGGCGTGACAGCAGGCCCAGACACTGAGTGCCTGGAGTTGGGAAGCACCAGAGCCGGTGTTTACAGGAGACGGACACACGGGGAGGCCAGGGGACAGTGGTCCCAGGGACTGCCCTTCCTGAGCTCTGAGAGGGCAGATAGAGTCAGACCAGGGTGCAGGGGGCGAGGGGGAGGGTGGCTGGGGAGAATGGTGGCCGCTTAGCTCTGGAAAGGAGGTGATGTCTGGTGGTGGGGAAAACAAGGCAGGCTAAGAGGGAGGTCGGGGCGCAGAGCTCGGGGGTTCTGCCAGGATGTGGCACGGCTGGGAGCGGATGGGGATGCAGGCCTGCCTGGGACGGACCGTCCGGTGCCCCTTCCTGACCGTCTCTGTGCACCCCCGTCTTCCTACAGGCAGGATGATCCCGGTGGCCGAATTCAAGCAGTTCACGGAACAGCAGCCCGCGTTGAAGGTGCTCAAACCCTGGTGGGACGTGCTGGCTGAGTACCTCACCGTGGCCATGCTCATGATTGGGGTCTTCGGCTGCACCCTCCAGGTGACAGGCGGGGCCAGAAAATGGGGCGGGGCCAGCACCTGGGGAAGTACCAAAGTTTTCCCATCATTCACGAAAGGGGAGAGAGGAAGATGAAACCAGAGCCTACCACCTGCAGACCGATTCTGACCTCCTTTTATTTTGAGACAGAGTCTCGCTCTGTCGTCTTGGGTGGAGTGCAGTGGCATCATGGTAGCTCACTGCAACCTCAAACTCCTGGGCTGAAGCGATCCTCCTGCCTCAGCCTCCCCAGTAGCTGGGACTACAGGCTTCAGCCACTGTACCCTGCAATGTCCCCTTTCTATAAGGACACAGTCATATTGGGCCCAAACTAATGGCCTAGGCTTACCTTGACTACCTCTGCGATGATCCTATTTCCAAATAAGGCCACGTTCACAAGGATTGGGAGTTGGGACTTCAACATATTTTGCAGGGGAGACAAGTAAGCCCAGTTCTTTTTTTCAGACAAAGACCAATGCTCAGAGATTCAGTAACTCTTCTGGAGTCATAGCTGGCTGGTGACAGTCAGGGATTGGGGTCTCCCACCTTTGGCCTGTTTCTTCCCATCCCCCGACTCCCCAGACCCCTCACTCTCTTCTGCCATCTCTCCCATCTGCATAGGTGACACAGGACAAGATCATCTGTCTGCCCAGTCACGAGCCCCGGGAGAACGTATCAGAGGCCCCGTGCCAGCAACTATTGCCACGGGGGGTCTCTGAGCAGATGGGGGGCCTGCGGGAGGTTCATGGCCTCAAGAACAACTTGGACTTGCAGCAGTACAGCTTCATTAACCAGCTCTGCTACGAGACGGCCCTCCACTGGTACGCCAAGTACTTCCCCTACCTCGTGATCATTCACACGCTCATCTTCATGGTTTGCACCAGTTTTTGGTTCAAGTTCCCCGGCACCAGCTCCAAGATCGAACACTTCATCTCCATCCTGGGCAAGTGTTTTGACTCGCCCTGGACCACGCGGGCTCTGTCTGAGGTTTCCGGGGAGAACCAGAAAGGCCCGGCTGCTGGACGGGCGACAGCCATCGTGGCGGCCACAGCAGGGGCCGGGCCAGGGAAGGCAGGGGAGGGTGAGAAGGAGAAGGTGCTGGCGGAGCCGGAGAAAGTGGTGACTGAGCCCCCGGTTGTCACCCTGCTTGACAAGAAGGAGGGTGAGCAGGCCAAAGCCCTGTTTGAGAAGGTCAGGAAGTTCCGTGTGCACGTGGAAGAAGGGGACATCCTCTATACGATGTACATCCGGCAGACGGTGCTCAAAGTGTGCAAGTTCTTGGCCATTTTGGTCTACAACCTGGTCTACGTGGAGAAGATCAGCTTCCTGGTGGCCTGCAGGGTGGAGACCTCCGAGGTCACGGGCTATGCCAGTTTCTGCTGCAACCACACCAAGGCCCACCTCTTCTCCAAGCTGGCATTCTGCTACATCTCCTTCGTGTGCGTCTACGGGCTCACCTGCCTCTACACGCTCTACTGGCTGTTCCACCGGCCTCTCAAGGAGTACTCCTTCCGTTCCGTGAGGGAGGAGACTGGCATGGGGGACATTCCTGACGTCAAGAACGACTTTGCCTTCATGCTGCATCTCATTGACCAATATGACTCGCTCTACTCCAAGCGCTTTGCTGTCTTCCTCTCCGAGGTCAGTGAAAGCCGCCTGAAGCAGCTCAACCTCAACCACGAGTGGACGCCCGAGAAACTTCGGCAGAAGCTGCAGCGCAACGCCCGGGGCCGGCTGGAGCTGGCCCTCTGCATGCTCCCCGGCCTGCCGGACACTGTCTTCGAGCTCAGTGAGGTGGAGGCGCTGAGGCTGGAGGCCATCTGTGATGTCACCTTCCCCCCGGGGCTCTCGCAGCTGGTGCAGTTGCAGGAGCTGAGCTTGCTGCACTCGCCCGCGAGGTTGCCCTTCTCCTTGCAGATCTTCCTGAGGGACCGCCTGAAGGTCATCCGGGTCAAGTGCGAGGAACTCCGGGAGGTGCCCCTCTGGGTGTTCGGGCTGCGAGGCTTGGAGGAGCTGCACCTGGAGGGGCTCTTCCCCCCAGAGCTGGCTCGGGCGGCCACCCTCGAGAGCCTCCGGGAGTTGAAGCAGCTCAAGGTGTTGTCCCTGCGGAGCAACGCGGGGAAGGTGCCAGCCAGCGTGACTGACGTGGCCGGACACCTACAGCGGCTCAGCCTGCACAACGATGGGGCCCGTCTGCTGGCCCTCAACAGCCTCAAGAAGCTGGCGGCGTTGCGGGAGCTGGAGCTGGTGGCCTGTGGGCTGGAGCGCATCCCCCACGCAGTGTTCAGCCTCGGGGCGCTGCAGGAACTTGACCTCAAGGACAACCACCTGCGGTCCATAGAGGAGATCCTCAGCTTCCAGCACTGCCGAAAGCTGGTCACACTCAGGCTGTGGCACAATCAGATCGCCTACGTCCCCGAGCACGTGCGGAAGCTCAGGGGCCTGGAGCAGCTCTACCTCAGCCACAACAAGCTCGAGACGCTGCCCACTCAGCTCGGCCTGTGCTCCGGCCTCCGCCTGCTGGACGTGTCCCACAACGGGCTGCACTCCTTGCCGCCAGAGGTGGGCCTCCTCCAGAGCCTGCAGCACCTGGCTTTGTCCTACAATGCCCTTGAGGCCCTGCCGGATGAGCTTTTTTTCTGCCGAAAGCTGCGGACGTTGCTTCTGGGCTACAACCACCTGAGCCAGCTCTCGCCCCACGTGGGGGCCCTCAGGGCCCTCATCCGCTTGGAGCTCAAGGGCAATCGGTTGGAGGCGCTGCCAGAAGAACTTGGCCACTGTGGGGGGCTGAAGAAGGCGGGGCTCCTGGTGGAAGACACCCTGTATGAGGGCCTGCCCGCAGAGGTACGAGAGAAGATGGAGGAGGAATGAGGCCAGGGTGGGCACAGCGGGTTGAGGTAGGGCCCCAAGGATGCCACTAGGCAGGAATCTCTACCATTGTCTTCTAAGGGAGGTGGCCACGTGAGCCCAGGAGAGGAGGGGCAGATTTGTGTCAGCCTGGTGGGGCCCAGGCAAGATCTGGGACTGGTTTGTCTAGGGGAGGTTGTGGATTCAGTGTAGAACTCCAAATGGAGGGATTAACTCAGTCCTGGAGTTCTCAGACCAAAACCACACCTGTGTCTGTGGCTGGCTGGCTGGCCCCATCCCTAGACCAGAACTGGATAATCCGGCTCAATGAGTGCCACCTATAGGGGTGGGGGCACATCCCACTGGGATTTCCAGCCCTCCTCCACCGAAAAAAGCAGCTTACATCTGGGATTCTCTCCCAAGGAGGGGACACAGACCCAAGGGACCAGCCCCACACCCCAATTTTGATGCTAATCCCTTATTTATAAGTTGTTTGCTATGGACATGTGAACTCAGAACAATATAGCTCATATCTGGCCATGCATCAAAATCAACAGTGGAGTGAGTTAGTACCGAACAAAACATCCAAGTCCCTACCCCTGAGAGACCGATGCAGGAGGTTTGGGTAGGGGCTGGGAACCTGCAGCTATATAAGCATCCCAGGCAATTCCGATGCAGGTGGTCCTAGGACGGCATGTTGGGAGATGTTGACCTAAAAAATAGGTATCCAAATGTCTAGTTTCTGACCCCTTTTTAGATCCTAGACCCTTTGAGAAACCAATGAAAGCTGGGCACCTCCTTCCTCAGGAAAATGCTTGTGTACACTTACACATAAAACTCTGCAAACAACTTTGGGCAGTCAACAGATTCATGGACTTTCTAACGTTGGCAGACTCCAGGGTAAGAACACTTGCCATGGAGGCTGTGTTTTTCTGAGGACAGGCAGGGACTTTGTCTTTCGAATGTTCCATCCATGGGTGCTTAATAAATAATACTCCTTGTCAGAACTCTAATTCTTATCTCTTATGTCCACTCCTGTCACTGTTCTATTTCACGAAGCCAAGTGACACCTGTGGGCCAGAATCAAGGGTGTGAGCCTCTTGTCTGGGGGACGGAGGCACAGAAGGCCACCTGGAAGAAGGGAAGGTAGCGATCTCAGCTAATCCGAAGGAGAAATGAGATGGCGTCATCTGCTTAGCTTTTGTCTGGAGAATCGCTTTTCCCCACCTTCCCTTTTTATCCTCTTAGCTCCATGCTTTTGTGTCTGCTCCACCCACAAGCTTTCAACTCTCATCCCAAAGTGTTCCCTCGTTGGACTTGGAGCTGGCAGGGCACTTGGCATAGCCTGCCCAATCGACCCTAGGCTTGGCCACCTCCCAAGTGTCCTTGCAAAATTGGAGACTCCTGGCACCTAAGAGCAAAGGCAAGCTGCTTTCAGGGGACCTGGGGTTCCAGATGGGGCATTTCCCCCAACACCCTTCAGACCACTACAAGGAGTGGTTTAGGATGCAGGGGTGCCGCGCAAAGATGCCTAAACCCAGGATCCATCTTCAGATAGGAATTCAGTGTGTCCAGGAGCTGAGCCCACACCCCGGGGGCGGGGCAGGTAACGGGGGGGGGGGGGCGTCTTGAGGTCCCAAGACGGTCTGTGCAGGAACTCTGGCCTTGACCTTGGGCCCGTTGTTGAGGTCAGGGGTCACGCCGCTGGGCTCCCAGGGCCCTCCCCTCCCGCCTGGCTTCCACCAACCCTGAGCTTGCTGGGACTGGCTGAAATGGACCGGGCTCCCCACGGAGCCGAATTACTTGAGCAGGTGGCACCGCGCTGCCAGCAGCAGGCCCCGCAGCAGTTAAGCATAACAGGGATCTTAATGAAGCACTGCCCGAGGCAAGGAAGGAGGTATAGAGAGGGCGCAGCTGTCAGAGAGGACCGAGCCGGAAAGAGCGAGCAGCAGGCTGAGGCTGCACCGCCGTGGGAACCACAGGTGACGGCTGCAGAGCAAAAAGGGTACACGGGCGCGCATGCGCAACAGAAGCCTCGCGCGTGGCCGCGTCTCTCCCTCCGTGCGCATGCGCGCCGCTTTCCCCGCCCACAGCTCTGAAAAAACCGTGGGTTTCCTCGCAGCGCCTGTGTGGCGCGCCCTGGGGTTCGCACATGCGCGTCACGGCGGGGGCGGGGGTTTCGCACGTTGCCAGCCGCGAGCTCTAGGTGGCGTCATCCCTCGGGCTGGGACGAAGCACGCACGCGCGGAGGTTCGCACGCGGGACAGGACGGGTGCGCGCCGCGGGCATGCGCCCTGCGGGGCGAGACGGCGGCTCGGCGGGGTCATCCGGGCGCAGGCGCAGTGCGGTGTTTGTCTGCCGGACTGACGGGCGACCGGGCGGTGCGCGGCGGCGGCGGCGGCGGCGGGGAAGATGGCGGCGTCCTCCCTGGAGCAGAAGCTGTCCCGCCTGGAAGCAAAGCTGAAGCAGGAGAACCGCGAGGCCCGGCGGAGGATCGACCTCAACCTGGATATCAGCCCCCAGCGGCCCAGGCCCAGTAAGCACGGCGGCGTGGGGGAGGGGGCGGGCGGGGCGGGGCGCGCGCCGCGGGAGGCCCCGCCCCCGCCGTCGGGCCCCGCCCCCGCTTCCGGGGCGCTCGCGCTCCTCCCCTCCGCCCCTCCCGCCGTCGGCTCGCGGGGAGAGGGTCACGGTGACCCGGGGGGCGTGGGGCCGGGGAGCTCCCGGGCGGCCTAGGGGTTCGCACCCTCGGGGCCTGGGAGCCCGGTGACCCGGCCCGGGCGAGGCCTCCGCCCTCTGGCCCGCCCCCATCGCCGAGATCCTCGGAGGCTCTGTCACCTGCGGCGAGCCGGGCTGCCCCCTACTCCACGCGACCGTGGCCCCATCCAGGTCGCCCCGCACACACAAACACATCCCCTTCGACCCGGGCCTTCCACTCCCGTCATTTTCAGTGACTGTCAAGATCACCCCCCTCCCCCAGCCTGGGAGCTTGTCCCAGTTCAGCGGATGATCTGCTCACAAGCACAGGCACACACCAGGGCTGGGGACACCTGAGGTCACTTGACCACATACAACAGCCCCTCCGTCACTTCCGAACTGAGGTTTCTCCCATTTGGTCTCCCTATGACTGTGTCTGAAGGTCCCTTCCCCACTTTGGGATGAGCTTGTCATTGGGCTCAGCAGACCCCGTCCCCCAATGCACCAGGCCCCCTCAAAACCCTGTGACTAGTGTCAGTACCACCCTCTCGGTGAGCATTTTGGTCTCTCCAGGAATACCCACCCAACCCCCAGACTGGTGACTTTGTCAAGTGGCTCAAGTGACTGTTCCCATTCCTTTAACACCCATACCCACCTGGCCTGGGGACACCTGCGGTTAGTGTGACTATACCTAGGCTCCCCAGCACACATCCACTTCCTTTCTGCCGGTTCCCACAATCTCAGCACCTATTTCCCTGACGTCTTGTCATCCTGCGTCAACACCTCCCCCGACACACACACACCCACACCCCTGGCCTGGGATCACCACGGCCACAGGAAACCTCCTCGCTATGTCTCACAGGACCCCATCCCTAAATCCCCTCAGGCAGAGGGAATCAGATTTCCCCCTCCCCACAAACTCTCAACAGCACCCACCACCCATGTTCCTTTCTGTGTCTCTCTCGACCCAGCGAAATGCTACCTTTTATGTCTCCTCTGATGGGGCTCTCATAGTTCATATAGCTCCCTGTGGAGTCATCTTGCCAGGAGGGCGGAGGCACTCCCCCCCCATATCTGGGTACCCCAACCACGCCCTTGGTTAGCCTGACTTTTACAGCCTGACACCCCTCATCCCCCAACCCTCCCTCTTCTGGGAGGGGGTCAGCCGAACCTGGGTCCGCCTGGGTTCCTGCCTGGGGAGTCTCTTGGGGTACAGAGAAATCCTGGAGGTGGACATGCTGGCTTTGGACACTGCCTGGGACAGGAAGCCTGGCCCAGACATGGAGGGTCCCTGCTGGGCTCTGCAGGGCTGCCCTTCTCAGCCCCTGTGTGGATGAGAAAGGTCTGGGTATGGGGCCCGGGTGCCTTAGGGGGTGGCTGTCCCCATGCAGAGCGAGGCCCATGGCGGGCAGGCCCCCAGGGAGCCCCCTTCAGGCGTGTGTGTCTGTCAGCTCCATCCCATCCTCCCCGTTCTGCCATCTCTGTCGGTTTCTACCCATCTCTGCAGTTTGGTGCCTCGCGCCTCCCCCTCCTCCTCGTTATGATTTGATTTTCTTTTCTTTTGGACGAATCGGTCGTTTCTGTTGTGATTTATCGTGGTGTTGTTTTTTTTCTTCCTTTTCCCCATCCAGTTATTGTGATCACTCTAAGCCCTGCTCCTGCCCCGTCCCAACGAGCAGGTACCAGCCTTTTTATCATCGCCGCTTGGACATCTGCACCATTGACCTAACCGCTGCCCCGGCCGCAGAAAGCCATCCCCATCCCCCTGTGTGTGTGTGTGTGTGTGTGTGCGTGTCCATGTCTCCTCCTGTCACCCTCACTCTCGCGCCACTCGTGCAACGTGGCCCAGACCGGCCTCCTCTGTGCCCTCTCACCTCCTCCTACCCCCTTCCTCTTGGGCTCTAGTTTGGACTCCCTGGAGGAGGAAATGGCCCCCGCAGAGCAGGAGTCTGTGGCCTGCAAGGGGACACGTGTGCAACGTGTCATGAGTGTGCGTGAGCGAGAGAGAGAGAGAGAGAGAGAGAGAGAGAGAGTGAGAGAGAGAGAGAGAGAAGTCTGGGCCAGGTGGGTGGACCCTCCCTGTTTGATCTGTGTGTAGCGCCCCCCCCCACCCCCCCGGGCGTGGGCCATCCTGGGTACTAGGGACACGGCAGTCATCACAACAGACCGAGCCCCGCTCCTTGAGGAGCTGAGGCTATGCCAGAGGAGACTGCCTGGGGACAGTGAGCACAGTCTCTGCCAGGGAGAACATTCTAGCAGGGTGAGGGGCTTTGCAGGGGGTCCGGGAAAGCCTCTGGAGAAGGTGGAGTTCAAGCACAGTGTCCCTGGAGGTGGCGTGGGGTGGGGCAAGGACACAGCCAGCTGAGGCCCTGAACACAGGCGCCAGTGTGTTTGGGAGCAGTTGGGCCGCACGCCCGAGCCCGTGCTGGGAGGGAGACTGGGTGGGGGTCTGGCCCAGGGGTAGTTGTGTGTGAGTGTGGCAGGGTTGCCCGTGTGTGTGCCTGACTGTGTGTGTGTGCCAGGTGAGCAAGGATGTCTGTCCCCGGCTGCATGTGTGTAGGGGTCTGTGCCATGCCCTGGGAGTGTGTGTTTGCACAAGTGTGTGCATGCGTGTGGGGCTGGCAGCCTGCGTGTCCATGGCTCCTGTCCGCATCAGCGGGCACCTGCCCTCCAGCCCTCTCTTGCTGTCCCTCATTCATTCATTCATTCATTCATTCTCTGTCTGTCTGTCACACACTCTTGGTCTCACTCCGCTCTCCTGACGTGCTGTGTGGCCTGTCACCACCTCCGTGACCTTTGTGATCTCTGTTCTCAGGGCTTCGTGTGTCTCCTTCCTGCCCCCCTACCTGAGCACCCTTCCTATCCCCACAGCGCCCCCGTCTGCAGACCGGCGGCCGCCTCCCTGGGCTCTGGGTAGCCCTCAGAGGGCCAGGTGGACTGTGCCAGGGAGGGGACCAATAGGACACTTTGAGGTGTGGCCCTCACCCCCAGAGAGCTGGCAGTGCAGGGTAGGAAACCCCCAGGGATGAGATTCAGTGACTCAAGAAAGTCCAGGTGCAGAGGGCCTGGGGCTGGATTGGGGGGACAGGGGCCGAGGAGGGGTTGGGACTGTGATTCAGGCCAGAGCAGAGGCACAGGGACACACTGAGCAGGGGGAGGCAGTGCTGTGGCCGGGGGCAGCGGGAGGGGAGGCCTCCCAGTTGGTCCCGACTCCCCAGGCCCCAGAGCCCTTCCTTTGCTCCTGGCAGGCCCTGTACCCCCAAGGACTGCAGGTCGGAGCCCTCTACCTGCCCCCTCTCAGTGGCTGAGGCCAAGGTCCCGGCCCACAGGGCAAGGCTAGGGCCCGGCTGCTGGCAGCTGGAGCAGGTTGTCTCTCCCGATTTGTCACTAGGCAGAGATGGTGGGAGCCTGTGGGACTGTGGGCAGGAAAGGGGGCTGAGGCCAGAGGGAGGGCGTCTGAGGAGGCTGCAGGAGCAGGGCAGGTCCCAGGGAGAGGGGCGCCTCGGAGGCTGCTGTAGCCGGTGCCCCGAGGTGAGCACACCATTGGCCTTCCCGGGTCAGGGCCTCTGGGGCGCAAGGGGTCAAGGGAGGGTCGACTCCTCAGGGACCCACACCCTGTTGCCAGCCCAGCCAGGGAGACACCTAATCCTGCAGTGAGCCTGCTCTCCTGTCCCAGGCCCCTCTCTGGCCTGTCTCTGCAGCGCCCCCTCTGGGCAGCTGGTCCCTGAGTCTTGGCTCCTGTCTGTCTGTCTGTCTCTTGCCCTCCCACCCCCTAATGCCTCCTGCCCGTCCCAGGGTGTCCGCTGCCTGCCCGCTGCCTGCCCGCCCGCTGTCGCATGCCCGAGCTGTCCGCATGCAGGCTGCTGGAAAGAACCCACCCCCTGGCCCGGCACGGCCCCCTGCCCAGTCCTGCCAGCCCCTGCAGGGGCTGCACCCCCCACATGTCCCCCCAGAGGACGCAGGCCCAACCTGGAGTCCTGCCCCTGCCCTCATCTGCCCCTGCTCAGCCCGCTGACCCGAGGGGGTCCTCCCTCATCCCGGAGCAGAATGTGGGGGCAGGGCAGCTGGAAGCTGGGGTCCCATGCCCACTGTCTCCCCAGGGTGGCCCGCCCAGCTCTTGTTGGGGGCCAGGTTCACTGCTGCCAGCAGGGCCAGAGCCCAGGCCTATCCTGGCGGGCATTCCGTCCTCGCGTGTTCCAGAATAGGGGTGCTGTGGCCCTTGGCCTGCGTCCTGGTTAGAGGTGGGGAGGAAAGGGACACGCCAGGAAAACTGCCTGGCTGAGGGACACCGTGAGGTCCCTGCCTCGTTTCTCTGTCAGTGTAGATTGGGGTCCACTCGCTCCCCACCAGCCCACTCAGTCTCCTTCCAGGTCAGGGGTGGGAGAAGGTACCCTGAGGACGGCCCACTGAGTGGGTTGGGAGACCCCAGCTCCTCCACCCAGCAGCTGGGGAGGCCAGGGAGGGGAAGGTGAGGGTCCCGGCCCCTCCCCGAGTGCCAGGCCTGGAGCGGAGGCCAGCCGGGCACTGACCCCTCCCCGCCACTGGTTCTCACCCCCCAGCCCTGCAGCTCCCGCTGGCCAACGATGGGGGCAGCCGCTCACCGTCCTCAGAGAGCTCCCCGCAGCACCCCACGCCCCCCGCCCGGCCCCGCCACATGCTGGGGCTCCCGGCAACTCTGTTCACGCCCCGCAGCATGGAGAGGTGAGCCGCGGGCTGCTGGGGCTGGGCAGAGCTGTAGGGAGCCCCGTGGGGACTGCAGCGGGGCTGGTTGCTCAGGAGCCCCCTCCACCGGCACCTGCTCCCTGTCCCCCCAGCATCGAGATTGACCAGAAGCTGCAGGAGATCATGAAGCAGACGGGCTACCTGACCATCGGGGGCCAGGTACCACCCTTCGCTCGGTGCCCCTGGGGTGGGGGGTGCGCAGGCAGGCCGGGCCCATGCCAGGGCACAGCCGAGGCCCCGGGGACCCTCCAGCCCCTGTTGTCCTCCCAGCGCTACCAGGCAGAAATCAACGACCTAGAGAACTTGGGTGAGATGGGCAGCGGCACATGCGGCCAGGTGTGGAAGATGCGCTTCCGGAAGACGGGCCACGTCATCGCAGTCAAGGTGAGTCTCAGCCCTCGCCCCAAGCTGGCCCACACCTCGTCCCGGCTGGCGCTGAGGTCCCTGCCCACCTCTCATCCCTGTCGTGCAGCAAATGCGGCGCTCAGGGAACAAGGAGGAGAACAAGCGCATCCTCATGGACCTGGACGTGGTGCTCAAGAGCCACGACTGCCCATACATCGTGCAGTGCTTCGGGACCTTCATCACCAACGTGAGCACCCCTGCCCCGCTGGGTGCCCCCGCCCCTGCCCCGGGGCCAGGGCTGCTCTGGGGTGGACAGGAACGCGCTGCCACCCCAAGCCCGGTGTGTTTCCCCCGCAGACCGACGTCTTCATTGCCATGGAGCTCATGGGCACGTGCGCCGAGAAGCTCAAGAAGCGGATGCAGGGCCCCATCCCTGAGCGCATCCTGGGCAAGATGACGGTGGCGGTGAGTGGCTGGGCTGGCGGCCAGGCGGGCGGGCGGGCCCGGGCCCACGGTCACGGGCACCCGCCCCTGTACACGCCGCAGATCGTGAAGGCGCTGTACTACCTGAAGGAGAAGCACGGCGTGATCCACCGCGACGTCAAGCCCTCCAACATCCTGCTGGACGAGCGGGGCCAGATCAAGCTCTGCGACTTCGGCATCAGCGGCCGCCTGGTCGACTCTAAGGCCAAGACGCGGAGCGCCGGCTGCGCCGCCTACATGGCGGTGAGTGGGGGTCCGGCATGTGGGGGGCGGCGGGCCCAGGCGGCCTCCGGGGTATAGCCTCCCCTTCTCTCCTGGCAGCCTGAGCGCATCGACCCCCCAGACCCCACCAAGCCCGACTACGACATCCGGGCCGACGTGTGGAGCCTGGGCATCTCGCTGGTGAGTGGGGTCCCGCCCCGTCCTCAGGCTGGGGGTGAGGTCCTCTGGGGGGTGGCCCCCGACCCCGTGCCCGCTAGGTCCAGGCCTGCCCGTCTCCCTCCCAGGTGGAGCTGGCGACGGGACAGTTTCCCTACAAGAACTGCAAGACGGACTTTGAGGTCCTCACCAAAGTCCTCCAGGAAGAGCCCCCGCTCCTGCCCGGTCACATGGGCTTCTCGGGGGACTTCCAGTCCTTCGTCAAAGACTGGTGAGAGCCCCTGCCCTGCCTGCCCTACTCTCAGGGATGTCAGGGGAGGCCCCTTACTCGGGGCAGGAGGGGGTGGGGGGCCGCCCTGGGTTGGGTGGGGGCAGCTGTGCGTGGGCTCCTGGCTCAGGGCATGGACAGGAGCTGATGCCCTGGGAGCCACGAGTTGGGTTTGGACCCAGCCTGAGAGGACAGCTGGCCCCGTGGGCGTTTGGCAAGGTGGCCGTGGGAGGCTGTGAGTGCCCAGCCACAGCAAGCTGCGCCGTGGGTGCAGGAGGTCCACATCTGGTCTCCCAGGGCCGGAGCGGCAGGGCGCACACCAAGGCGGATGCCAGCTGTCACCAGGGCCCAGACCATCAGCAGCTCCTTCCCCTGCGGACCTTAACAACCCCCAGCTCACCGGGGGCCTGAACACTGGGGGGCAGCCGGGCCCCTCCGGCTGGCTCTCACCTCCCTCCCTCCCTCCCTTCCTCCTTCCTGCAGCCTTACTAAAGATCACAGGAAGAGACCAAAGTATAATAAGCTACTTGTGAGTACCCGGGGCCCCTCCCCATGTCCCCGTCCCTGCGGAACATCCCCACAGGAGCCCCAGGCCCTGAGCATGAGGCCCCCGCCTCCTAAGCCCCTGCCTCGGCCCGCAGGAACACAGCTTCATCAGGCGCTACGAGACGCTCGAGGTGGACGTGGCGTCCTGGTTCAAGGATGTCATGGCAAAGACCGAGTCGCCGCGGACTAGCGGGGTCCTGAGCCAACACCACCTGCCCTTCTTCAGGTAGCTGCATGGCGGCGGCCAGCCCCACGGGGGCCAGGGGCATGGCCACAGGCCCCCCTTCCCCACCCAGCCGCCCGCCAGGGGAGACCTGGGACCCGGACGGCCGCCGAGGGCTGAGGACAGAAAGTAGGGGGCACCCACCCACCCCCGACTCCCTGCCCGCCAGCCGTGGACAGACGGGCCCGCCAGGCCCAGCCCTTCCCGCCCCGGGGTCAGCCGGCCGCGCGCGTCCCCCCGACAGACACTGTGAACGGACGACAGCAGGCCGCGAGCAGACTCGCTATTTATTCAGTCGTAACCTCTGGGCTGGGGTGGCCCCCAGGGGCCAGGAGAGACCCCTGAGTCCCCAGCCCCGCTCCGAGCGTGCCGTCCTCGCCGCTCCCCATGCACCCGTTCCTTTTCCGTCACCCCCTCTACCTCTGTCCTTGTCACCCTCCCTGCCTCTGCCTCCCTCCTGGCCCGAGCCTGGGCTCAGCCACCCCTGGCAGGACCCCTGGGTCTACTTAGTTCTCCATGGGGTGATGAGTTGGTGGCCCCCAGAAGGGACTGCGGGCATTGCGACTGCAGCTGGCCGGGCTGGTCTCTCTCTCTCTTTCTTTCTCTCTCTCTTTGATCTCAGGGGGTCCTTTTTGGAGTTTATTGTATTTTATTGTACTTGGTGGGGGGCGGGGGGTGGAGGAGAGCTTGTTCTCACGGGGTTCGTCGGTACCTTCAGAAACTTTTACCAAAGTCACGTTTAGCTGCTTGTGGAGGGGCCCCCACCGCCCACGGGCTCCAGGGGCTGGGCCGGGTGCTGCAGCTCCGGCTACGGGGCCAGCCCTGGGCGGGGAGACTGGTCCCAGCTTGGGGGCGAGTTGAAGACCTCAGGGGGTGTGGAGGGGGCCCAGGGGGCTGTGGCCACACACAGGGTGGCCTTCAGGGAAGGTAGACGTGGGGCGTGGCGGGAGCAGGCGGCCAGAGGGAATTGAAGATGAGAAGGAGTGTGGCGGGAGTCGGATTGAGGGGGAAGGGAGTGGATGTGGGGGTTCAGGGACATGTGACAGGCTCCAGCGGGGGCGTGGGGGGCACCAGGCTGTGGGCGGGAGTTCAAGGTGGTCACCCCCAGGGTGCCACTGTGCTGCACCACAGCTGGCCAGGTGTCCCCCCAGCACCCGCTGCTGCTGCAGGCAGAGCAGGAGGGGTGTGTTTCCTTTTTGTTGGTGATGCATGCAAATCATGTGGACGAGAAATAGCAAAACACAAAAAAGAAAAAAAAAAAAGAAAACCCCATAAAACCACAAACAAAAACCAACCAACACCAAAGGTGAGGAGCCTCGCTGGACGTAGCTGAAGCAGCATAGACATAGGGTTGCTGTGTCCTCTCATCTGTGGTCTGGACTCTCCTTATCATAGTCACAACATGCCGCATGTTTAAAAGTAGTAGAAGTCATCTTCTCTGCCCCGGGGGGAAGGCCGCCTTCTCTTGCCTCTGGTCTCCTTTGTGAGGGGACAGGGGCCAGGTGGGGGTGCCGACAGGCCTGACCCCCACCCTCCCTCCCTGGGGCCAGCCGCGGGGGCCTCTGCAGGTAGCTGGAAGGTTGCTTGGCTGGCTCCAGGCCAGCACAGGCCCGAGACTGGGCTACCTGGTTTTATTTTTATTTAACTCGATTTTCCGTTTTTGTGTGTGTGTGTCTGCCTGCCCTCCCAACCCCTTCAGTGTTACAGGGGAGCTCTGGGGGAGCCTCTCCTACCTCCCCACCTCTCCCCAGACCTCCCCCTCGTCACCAGCCATCCCTCTGGACCAGACAGAGGGCAGACCGGGCGGGCAGGAGCCTGGGGTGGCCTGGCCCAGCCCACCGGCCCCGACCCCTTCTCAGGCTGCCAGTATTGCCCTGTCCCTTTTTAAAACAAAATGCCCTCATTTGTAAATCCTTAGACGCTTGATAATAAACCCCTCCCTTTTCTTCCTCGAGTCTGTGGTGTGTCCAGAGCCTGGCAGGGAGGTGGGGAGGGGGCACAATTCTGGTGGTTGAGGCATCTGCATTGAGGGGAAACTGAGGCAGAGTGGGGGGTGGTGCTGGGAGGGAGGTATTTAGAGTGGCTTGCCCAGTATTGGGCAGCCAGTGTGGGGGACTCCCTGCCCCCGGCAGCCACAAGTCCGGCAGGAGAGAAGTCCTTAATTCCCTGCAGGCCTTGGGCCCCGGCTCTGATGTCAGCCTCTGTTGGCCACCCCCGCTCCCTGCCTCCCAGGGTAGCTGCCCAGCCAAGGACAGGGCCACCTGCCCACCTGCCAGGCCTCGGTGCAGCCAGGCTGGTGCCTCTGCTCTGGCCCCCAGACACCCCGACCTCGGCCAGTGCAGTATGCTGGGCTCTGCACTCCTGCTGCTGGCCCTGCTCTTGGGGACCACGGCGTCACCCACTGGGCCACCTGGTATGTACAGGCAGAGGGGGACACTGGGTCTGTCCCACTGCCATCCCTCCCTGTGTGGTCCTTCCTCAGCTTGACCTCTTGTCCACCCTACCTGGGGGAAAGCGGGTCGGGTGGGGTCTGCCTCTGTCTACTGTCCTCAGGTGGGCCCGCATCGTGGACTTCCTTAAAGCCCCCAGCAGCCGCAGAGAGGCCCAGGACTGGGAGGAGTGGTCTGTGCAGGTGCCCCTCAGAGTGGGTGTGTGGGCAGTCCCCGGCGTTTGACAAGGACCCTAGTTGAGCGCCTCCGGGAAGCAGAGGTCCCTGTGTACGGCGGGGCCCGTGTGTGCGCGAGTGCGCGGGTGCGCGGTCACGGACGGGCGACCCCCAACCTTTGCTGCCGCTGCCTTCAGCCTGGGAGTGTGAACCCTGGACGGGCAGAAACGTCCCAGATCCTGGTGGCCTGACTAGGCTTTGGCTGTACCCAGAAGGGCCTCCGGGGAGAGCACCCTCACCCTCCAATCTCCCCCACCCCCCGTTGATGACGCACCTACCTGCCCTTAGAAAGGGGAGCAGCCTGTGGGGAGGGGACAGAGCTCTGACTTGCAGCCTGACCCTCCACCCCAGTGTGCGCCTCAGCCCTCTCTGCCCCAGGGTTTCCTCGCCTGCTCTGGAGGCTCGTCCCCAGGGGCGCCCAGCTTTGCACCCGGCCTCAGCTGCTGGGCTGCGCTGGTCCCCGGGGTCGCCAGGGGGCACAGCACAGTAACTGTCCCGCTCGCGGAGAACGTGGCGCAGTGCGGAGCCTGGGGGAATCCGCCACCGCCACCGCATCCCTTGTCCGAAGGTTGCGGCGGGGGCGAGGTGGTCGGGTCACTTTTCCTGAGAGCCTAAGGGGCGGCGCGGCCTCCCTTGTCAGGGTCGCCCTCCCCCTCCCCCGCCCCGCCAGCACCCCGGTTCCCCGCCGCGCCAGGGCCCTGGCTGCGCAGACCTCTCTTCAGCCTGGAGCTGTCGGACGTGGAGGACGTCTTCCCGCGCCGCGCGGGGCCGCTGGAGGTCCCAGCGGACAGCCGCGTGTTCGTGCAGGTGGGGACACCGGGAGCACCGCGGGCCGGTGGCGGCAGGTGGGGGCGGGCGATCCTGATGTCGCCTCCGTCCCCTAGGCAGCCCTGGCCCGTCCCTCCCCGCGCTGGGGCCTGGCCCTGCACCGCTGCTCCGTGACGCCGTCCTCACGCCCGGCCCTGGGTCCCGCCCTGGCGCTGCTGCGCGGGGGCTGCCCCGCCGACGCCTCGGTCGCCTTCCCGCCACAGCCGCCGCACCGGGGTGCCATCAGCCCCGCGCGCTTCAGCTTCCGCCTGCGCCCGGTGTTCAACGCCTCGGTGCAGTTCCTGCACTGCCAGCTGAGCCGCTGCCGCCGCCGCCGGGGAGTCCGCCGGGCTGTGCCTCTGACGCCGCCACCGCTATCGCGGGTGCGCGAATGCAGCCCTTCGGGGGCTGGGCACAGGCATCTCTGGCGGCTGAGAGAGGATACCCCGGAGTTTGGGGATCTGAGCATCTGGGCCCTTTGGGTCTGGGGTCACTTGGGGCTGGGGGGGGTACACTGTGTCTCTCCCAGGCTGGGGGCTGGGCGCAAGGACCCCAGGGGCCCATGGGACTCTGCACAAGAGTTCCTCGGAGGACAAAGGGTGGACATTGGGTTCCCTCATGGACAGCTCCGGGACTCTGGGCGGGGCTCTGGCTGGGAAACTGGGTGAAGAAGGCCATCGAGGGTCGAATCTCTGAGCACCTGATGTTAGCTTCACAGTTAGGTACTGAGAGCCGGATCGTGTGATCTCCTTGAGGGGCTGGAATTTGGGGTCCCCAAGGGCCGAGCAGCTAGCTGCTCGTGTACACTTAGGGGCTGGGCTCATGGACCCTAAGGGACTGGATTTCCAAGGGGCCTTCTGGTTATGGGGGAGAGCTGGCCTCTTAGGTCTCTCTTGGGAGCCCTGGGGACCTGAGCTAGGGCTCTGGGGACCTGAGACCGGGCCCTGACTTCCCGGTCTCTTCCCCCCGCACCACCTGCCCCCAGTGCCTGCCTCAGGATGAGGCGTGCGCGGGCGCCATCAGTGGCAGCGGCGAGAGCCTGGGTGCTGACAGTCCCCACCTGCACACGCTGACGCAGCCCATCGTGGTCACCGTGCCGCGGCCGCCCCCCAGTGAGCGCGCAGTTCCCCCCGCCCCGCGCAGGGGGCCGTGGGGCGGGAGCGGGGGTGGGCAGGACTTCCGGGTGCTGGGCCCAGTCTCAGCGCTGCCGACTCCCCACAGGGCCCCCCAAGGTCGTCCCGGGCCACGCCCCCGTGCGCCCCGAGCCGCCCGCGCCGGCCCCCGCGGCCCTGGAGCCCGCGCCGGTGGTGGCGCTGGTGTTGGCAGCCTTCGTGCTGGGCGCCGCCCTGGCCGCCGGGCTCGGCCTCGTCTGCGCGCACTCAGGTACAGACCTCCGCCACGCCGGGACCTCTGCCCATCCCCCAGACTATTCCTGAGCGTCCAGACCTGGGGTCGCGGTGATCCCGCCTACGCGGAGCCTGAGCCGCTATAGCCCTGACTCCGCTATGCCCGCAGCAGCCCCCAGGGGGCGCCCTTACCCTGGAGCTGCGCGCAGCCACCCCAACTGCAGCCTGCCTCTCCCTTGCAGCGCCCCCGCCCCCTGGCCCGCCCCCGAGAGCCTCGCCCGGCGGCACCCAGCCCATGAGGCCCCAGTGAGGCAGGTAAACGCGGAGGTGGGGGAGCTGGAGGAAGGAGGGGCTGACAATGACTTCGTAGCTCTTACTCTGTGCCAGGCACTCTTCTGTTTTACGCATATGAACTAATTTAATCCTCATAACCAGCTGGGCGCGGTGGCTCACGCCTGTAATCCCAGCACTTTGGGAGGCTGAGGTGGGAGGATGGCTTGAGGACAGGAGTTTGAGACCAGCCTGGGCAACATAGCGAGACCCCCGTCTCTATAAAAAATAGCTGGCCATGGTGGTGTGCACCTGTATAGTCCCAGCTACTCCGGAGGCTGAGGCAGAAGGATGGAATTCCTTCAGCAGAGGAGTTCGAGGCTGCAGTGCACTATGATGATGCCACTGCAACCCAGCCTGGGCTACAGAGTGGAGACCCGATTTCTAAAAAATACATAAATAAATAATGCTCATAACAACCTTCAGGTAGATACTATTACAGTCCCCATTTTACAGAGGAGAAAAATGAGGCACTCTCTTAAGTTAAATAACGTGTCAAAGGTCACAGTATTTGGTGGAGGGATTCCAACTCAGGCAGTGAGTCATCAGCGGTGCGCTTTGGGCCCTGGGTCGAGCCAGGGGTCCTCAAATTTTGGACAGGCATTAGGCGAGGAGAATTTGGGATTCAGACGCAGTTCCCACTCTCACCCCAGCATATAGGCTGATGGGAGAGGCCACTGGTCTGCTGGGAAGGGGGTGGCCGACATAATGTCCCCTCCCTTGCTCAGCCTCCGCCGCCTCTCCCACCGCATGATCCTGAGAAGCACTCAGCCGCGGCTTTGGGACCAGGCTCGCCAGGACTGGACCCGCTGCCCCGGATCTCCCACCCAATGGGACCGCTACCCCTACGCTTCTCCCCTCCTCCACTTCCTCCTACCTGGGTTCAAAATAAACCTCTGAACTGACGGTCTGAGTTTTGGTGGAGTCGATGTGTGCGCAAGGCGCGGAGTGGCAGACAGGAGGAGGGGGCTCCAGGCTCTAGAAGGGGCCTAGGACCAAGACTGGAGGGCTGGGGCGGGGTGGAAATCCAGGCTGGGTGAAGTCCTGACTTGGGGGCGGGGCCCACACGCGCATATACACGTGTGCACACACCCGCCAGGGGAGACTCAAGGGCGTTTTGTCCCAAACAGAAAGCAACACCTAACCCCACCAGCTTAAATTTAAAATAAGCCCCGCCTCCTACCCCTGCAGTAGCCCACCTGCCCCCTGCGATCTTCCTCCAGCCAGGCCTTCTCTGCTTTCCACTCCCACCGCCCGACCCTGCCCTCGCTCGGGTCTCCTCGCTGGTTTGGACTTCACCCTCTTAAGTTTGGAGCTCCTTAAATCTCTCCTACCCGAGCTCCTCCCTCCCTTGCGCCTAGACAAGAATGGGACTACTAGCTCAGTTTACAGATGAAGAAACTGAGACTCGACAAGGCTAAATCACCAGCCCAAGGTCCCCAGGGCTGTCCAACCTCACAACCAGGCTCTGGACTCCGACTGAACAGCTGCCTTTTGGGCAGGAACCAGCCCTCTGCGAGAAGCAAAGCACGCAGTAAGCGTTTCATGAATTAGCTCATGAACGGAAGGCAGGCACGAGATCCAGGGTGTCAGCTCCGCTCCCCGAATGAGGTAAAATGCGGGCTGAGGTCTCGTTCGTCCATGCCTCGGATCCGGTGCCAGAGTCTCCCCATAGAGACGGTTCTGTTCGTCCTGCGAACGCAGAGCCACGTCCCCACCCACTTCCGCCTCCGCGCGAGGCTTTCTGGCTTCAGCGGCCTCCGTAGCTCCACCCACTAGGGAAGTGGCTCCAGAGTACGGGCGCCTCTCCGTCCGGCATGAAGCCGCCGCAGAGGCGGCGAACCGTCCCGGCGCGCTATCTGGGCGAGGTGACCGGCCCCGCGGCCTGGAGCGCCCGTGAGAAGCGACAGCTACTGCGACTGCTGCAGGCGCGGCGGGGCCAGCCGGAGCCGGACGCCGCAGAGCTCGCCCGGGAGCTGCCCGGCCGGAGCAAGGTTGAGGTGAGGTGCGCGTCCCTGGACGAGAGCGAGGCTGGGGGCAGGGTTAGCGTGTGTCTGGGCGGGGCCGAGGAGTGGGCGGGGCGACGACGAAGCTTAGGGGCTGGGCTGCGGCAGGAAGGGGCTGCAGTGGACTGGCCAGGGGTGGGGGCAGGGTGAGAAGGAGGGTGAGGGGCGGGCCGTAGGTGTGGCTGAGGGCGTGAGTGGTTGCGCCCGAAAGGCGGGGCGTGAGTGAGTCTGAAGGCGGGGCGAGAGCAAGATTTAGGGGCAGGGCGAGCTTGGGAGTAAGGCGTGGGCGGTGGAGTGGGCGGGGCGTAAGGAAGGCTGAGGGGCGGGCCGATGCTGGGGGCGGGCCGTGCGTGCCGCGGAGGGGTGGGGCGTGAGCGGGCCAGCCTGAGGAGCGGGGCGGGCTTGGCTGTAAATCCTGGGCGGGGCTTAAGTGGGGTTGAGGGGCGGGGCGAGGGCGAAACTTAGGGGCGGGGCGAATTCGGAGACGGAGGCTGTGGAGGCCGGTCGGAAAGCGCGCAGTTGGACCAGGCCCAATGAGGTTGAAGTGAGAGTCAAGAAATGGGGCGGAGTAGACGAAGAAGGGAGATGAATTGCGTATGGAGGAGCCAAAGCAGGCCTGGGACTTATATCTTCATTAGGTAGCTGGTCATACTCTGGGGCGCTGGCCCGACGCCCAGCAGATTCTCTGGGATCCTTTGCACGAGGCTAGTGGGAGGCTAGGGCGCAGCGGCCCGCCCTGGAGCAGGCAAGCAAGGCGGCGGGCTTTGCCTTCTCTCCTGCAGCCCTGAGCTTGTAGGCCCATTCAGCCACCTCCTCTCTCTTCCCCAGATCCGGGACTTCCTCCAGCAGCTCAAGGGTCGTGTGGCCCGGGAGGCCATTCGCAGGGTGCATCCAGGTGGTGGTCCGAGGCGCCAGGAGGCACAGACCCCAGCCCCCATAGAGGTGAGGCAGGAAGGCAGGGCGAGGCTTCCAGGGCCAGCCTTCAGGGGGGTCCCCAGGTGGGGCAGGGCTTGGGGGGATCCCTCCAGGCTGATCCCAGGGCTGACCCCGTACCTTCTGATGTCCCTCAGGTATGGATGGATCTGGCTGAGAAGATAACAGGCCCGCTGGAGGAAGCCTTGACAGTGGCTTTTTCGCAGGTACAGCCATCTCTCGGCAGGTGGGGGGTGGGTCCCAGGGGACAAGGTCATACATATGAGTCCAAATAAGGTGTATGGCATCTTAGGCCCTGCCCCTGCAGCCATCTCCCGTCTGAGCTCAGGGTGACAGGGAGAATTTGGTGACTGGGTGGAGATGGAGGGCTCAGCCTCTGCACAGCAGGAGTGGAAGATGAGGCTTCCTCCATCCCCTCCTCCATCGTTCTGCCTGTCAGGTGCTCACCATCGCGGCCACGGAACCACTCAGCCTCCTGCACTCCAAGCCCCCCAAGCCCACGCGGGCCCGAGGAAAACCACTACTCCTGAGCGTCCCGGGAGTGCAGGAAGACCCCACCTCTGAGGCTCCTGTCCCTGCCCCTGAGGCATCTGGCCCTACCCCTGGGGCTTCTGGCCCCACCCCTGAGGCTCCTGGCCCCACCCCTGAGGCTCCTGGCCCCGCCCCTGAGGCTCCTGGCCCCGCCCCTGAGTCATCTTCTGGGTCCCTGGCTGGCCCGTCCACTGAGGGAGACTTCACTGTGGACTTTGAGAAGATATACAAGTACCTGTCCTCCTTCTCTCGCAGTGGTCACGGCCCTGAGCTCTCAGCAGCTGGTAAGAGGAGTGAGGGGGTGGGGGTGTTGGGGGTGCCCCGGGTGGCAGGCCCCGGTCTCCCCTCACCCCTCCCTCTCCGTCCATCACTAGAGTCGGCTGTGGTCCTTGACCTGCTCATGTCGCTTCCCGAGGAGCTGCCCCACCTGCCCTGCACAGCCCTGGTGGAACATATGGCAGAAACATACCGACACCTGACAGCCCCTGAGCCCAGCCCCGCTGGAGGGAACCCCGGGCCTGGGGCTGAGGGTGATGGGACTGTTGCCAGGGGGCCAGAGGAGCCTGGCCAGGCCACTGCCCACTCCCCTGACAAGGCAGGGCCCAGCAAACTGGGATCACCCTGGCAAGCAGCTGGGATCTGCCCCCTGAACCCGTTCCTGGTGCCCCTGGAACTCCTGGGCAGGGCGGCCACCCCTGCTAGGTGAGGGGCAGTGGCCACACCAGACATTCCAATGGGGCCCTCAGTCCTGCTCGGCTGACACTGGCTCATCCTGAAGATCCGGTCATGGTCCCTGAGACGGTACTCAGACGTGTGGGGTGACCCTCGAAGATGTTCCATACGTCAGGGGTCTCCAAAATGGAACCCCAGTTTTATAGGGGTTTGGTGGGGGCAGCTAGGTGGCTGGGTTAATGGAGAATGGGGGACAGGGGACTCCATCCACAAGCACCCTGACCTCCTGGACAGGTGGACAGGCAGACAGACAGGTGGGGCTGGCCTCCGAGTTCCCCAAGCCCAGCTGTGCCTTGTTCTCTGCCGGGGGGGCCATGGCTGGCACCACACACCATAACCCCCCTTGCACAGGCCCCCCTTTGCCTGGGCTTCTGTGTTTTCTGCTGCCCCTCTCTTGCACCTCAGGGACCTGCATTGCCTGGCTCTCTGCAACGGACCTGTCCCCAATCCCCTCACCCCCGCCGCCAGCTCCCTGCCCCTTCTTGGGGGTATCCCATGACTGTGAATAAAAGTCTCGCCAACCTGCCTTGCTTTCTTTTTCCTGTCACTTAAAGGTGGGAGTAGGGGCCCTGAAGTATCAGAGCTTGGGGTCATGGGGGAAGGGGGTGCCAGGGAGGAAAGCTGCCGCCACTGTGATGCCTGGGGTAAGAAGCTCCTTGTTGACTGGAAGTGACCAGTGTGGACGGCAAGAGGATAGCCGGGCAGTATTCATGGGGACAGGTGTCAGGGACCGGCTTTCAGAGTGGGGCAGAGTCACGTCAACAGATGAAAGGGAGAAGCCAGCAGAGAGTGAAGATGGCCGAGCCAGAGGAGCAAGGCTCTAGGCCGGGGGGCCCCAGGCTAAGTTAGGGGTGTGCTGTCCCAAGCAGGAGGCTGGAGGGAGAGGCACATGTCCCTGAGGTGGCCTTGGGGCCTCAACGATCCCTAGAAGGGGAGGAGGAAGGGGCATTGGAGTCCTGGCCCATCTCCAAGATCCCAAACCCTTGGGGGTGCTTCTGGGCCCTCCGTGGGGGTACCCCCCTCTCAGCTCCACCTGCCCTGTGTGTATGGATTCAGGGGCAGGGCTGGGGGAACCAGATGTCCTCCCACGGCACCACCCCCTGCCACACGCCTAGCTAGTCTGAGTCGGTAAATTCTCTGTGCACGGAGCCTGTGCCCTCACCCAGCCTGCCTTTTATAGAAACGCTCATTTCTCCCCACACACGTTGCACACGGCTCCCCCGAGGCGCACAACACATCTCCCCGGGTGGGCCATGGAGCGGAGCCAGCCCACTCCGTGTCACCGCCCCACAGCGCCAGACCTATGGCTTGGTTCCAAGGTGCGCGCTATGATGGTGGGCAGGAGGGACAAGGCTCGAGGCTCGGGAAGATTGGGCTGCAGGTGCCGTCCCTGGAGCCCCCCTCCAGGGCTGGCTGAGTGCGCCCCTCTCAGCTCCCCACCGGGCTGAGTCCAGCCCAGGGCCCCGGTGCCTTCCCGGGTCAAGGGAAAGAAGTTTGTGTGGGGTCTTGGCTGTGGCTGGAGCTGGGGGGGTTGAGATGGTCACATATCGCACATTCCCCCTCAAAGCTGGTGAAGGGCCCAAGAGTGGATCTTTGCAGAACTGGGCAGTCCTAGAAGCATGCAGGAGCCAGTCTCCCTAGCCACGTGGCTGTGAACAAGTCACTCCAGCCACCTGGCCTTCAGTGGCCTGGCCTGTAGAATGGGGATGCTAAGGGAGCGTGTGGCTCATTCTCACCATCCCGAAGAGGAACTAGGCTACGAACAGGAGGCGCCAACTCAGCAGGCTGCTTGGCATGCAGTAAGCGCTCAATAACAGCTTTTATTATTATCATCATCGGCTCAGAGGCAGGGATGCATGAAAAGGCATGGCAGGGGCTTGTGGGGGCATGGCAGGGGGCGCAGGGGGAGGGCACGCTGACCTGTGCTGGGGCCGGGCTGGGGGCGGGAAGGAGCCTGCCCGCGCTCCCCTCCCATGGAAGGCGTCACGCATCCTGGACACCGCAGCCGCGGCAGGTCCTCAGGCTCCGTCTCCGGGACAGGCTGTGCAGCGCACATTGGTATGCAGCGTCCGCCCCGTGGGCCGGAGCCCAAGGACGGGCTCAGTGCTCACTCAGTCACGGTGGGATTCACGATGGCCAGACGACAGGGGAGAGAATGGGGACGAGGGAGTCTCCACTCCCAGGAACGGACAATAGCAGAGCCACTTACACGCTGGGGAGGGGGTGGCGCGGGGGTCCTCCTCCCACTCAGGATCCCGGGTGACTTGTGCAGAGAGGAAAGGGACAGGGCTGAGAAAGGCACGAGGTAGGGCTCGGGCCAGGAGGGGGGATGGGAGGGGTCTAAAGGGAGAGGGGCCGAGCTTCTCCGAACGCCCCCCTCCACCGGGCTGGGGGCTCTGGGGCGGGATCCCGAGCGCAGTCCGGGCCCAGCGGCGCCCCCGGGCCGGGCCGGCCCTCGGAGACCCCCGCGGAGGGCCGGCCCGGGGCGCCGCGCCCCTCACACCAGCGCGTAGTCGAACTGCCCGCGCTCGAGCGCCTCCTTGTGGTCGGTCCAGGACGAGGCGGGCATGCGGCTGTAGGGGTCGAGCAGGATGCGCACGCAGCGCACCATCAGCAGCACCAGCACCACGAGCAGGCAAAGCACGAAGGCGAACACCGTGCGCTGCTCTGCGTCCAGACCCGCGCCCACCGGGGGCCCCGTCGACGGCGGCAGCGGCTCCGGCGACAGCGTCCACGTCGCGCTCATGGCTCACATCGCCGCGCGCCCTGCGGAGGAGGGGACCCGCCCGGGGTGCGGGGATGAGGCTGCGCCGTCCCGCGCCTCCGCGTCGCCACCCCCCACCCACCGCGCCACCGCCCCCTTACCGTGTCCGGCCCCATCCCCCGCTCGCGCCTTGGTCCCCGGGCTACGCCCATGCCCGGCTCGCGGGCTCGCAGCCACCGCCACGCGGGGACCCAGCTGCGGCAGTGCCCGGGGAGAGGGAGCCCCGACCGGCCCGGGCCGTGCACAACAGGTGCGAACGCTCGGCCGCGGCCCGGGCGGCGCGGCGGGGGACGGTTCTCGCTGCCACCGCCCTGCTCCCTTTGTTCTTGGCGGCCCGAGGACCCCCTCCCCCACCGCCGCCGCCCCCGCCCCAGCGCGCCCCTCACCCTAGCCTGGACCCGGACCGGGACTGACCGCCCGGCGGCCGCGCTGTCTCCGGAACCCGCGCTGGCTCCGCGTTCGGCCTCTCCCCGGCGGCGGCGGAGGTGGCGGCCCGGGCTCCGGCGCCGGCTCAGCCCACCCCACCCGCCCCTGGAGCGGCAGAGACCGAGGCAGGCGAGCCGCGCGCGAGCCGGGCCGCCGCGGCTGTTCCCATGGCGACGGGGGCGGGGCCGCCGCGGGGGGCGGGGCCGCGGGGGGCGGAGGCTGCGCGGGCAGCGGCGCGCGGGCCCGCGACCCCGCCCCGGTCTGCGGGGGGACCCAGCCCCCATCACGGGGCCCCGCGCGCACCCTGGAGCTGCCACTCGCACCCGCCAGCACGTCGGACCCCCAGCCTGACCCCAGCACCCGCCCCGCGCTCTCCTCTGCCACAGACCGCCACCCACCGGCTCCGTTTGGGGGTTCTTATGGTCCCCAAACATCACTCCTGTGGGCACGGAACCTCCGCCAGCCCTGGGGACCCCAACCCTCCGAAAGCCCAGGCAGGTCCCTAGGATGTGTCACTGGCCGCCCCCGCTCCCTGCCCCAGGGGTAATGTCCTGACCAGGGCAAGCCACCCGCTTTGGTGCCCTTTGGTGCCGCAGTCATTGACCTTGACCACCTCTGTGACCCACCCAGTCCCGGTCACTGTCACACACAGAGATAACGCCTCAGACCACTCAAGTTGCTCTTCTGCACTTTGGTGTTTTATTATTTCCAAATCTCAGGCTATGTACAGGAAACGGGAGCATTGTTAAAATAAAAAAAAGACCTAAAATGGCCTGGCTGGCATGGCCAGCCGTGCGGAGCAGCAAGGCCTGGGCCCCACCACCTGGCCACTGTGCCCCAGAGCCTCTTGGCACTGTGTGGCCTGTACAGCACCCCGGCGTGGCAGAGGGACAGTGCGGGGGCTGGCACTGCAGTGCGTGTCCAGAGGCTGGGCACCCTCAGTAGCCCTCGGCCCCTTTCCCAGCCAGCCGGTTTTGTAGTTGTCCTGGCAGAGCTGGGAGGGCAGAGCCGGCAGTCTTGTCCCCAGAGGTCTGGAGTTGCTGCAGGTGTCCCTGGTCATCCACGCCTCATGATCCAGCCCGGGGGGCTCCCTGGCTGTGGTGGCCACGCTCAGAGGATCTGCTCCGTGCTGGAGGCAGAGATGTCCAGGAGCCGCCAGGCCGCGTAGGGGTTGAGCTCGTCCTGGTCGCGGCAGAGCGCCCACACGTACAGCATGCGCAGCACCTTGTCCTGCAGGGAGGGCGGAGGGGCTGTTGGGAGAGGTGGCTCTGGGGGGTGGGGGGCAGGGCGAGGGTCCCGGTGCCAACTCAGGTCTGGGTTCTATGGGGGGGGGACCACCAGGAACACCCCCAGGAGCTGGGAGCAGAGGCTGGGAAAGGGCCTATGACTCAGAAGCCGCCCAGCACTTGGGAAAATTGGACGGGCCAGTCCGCCCTCTGACCTCCCCCAGCCCGGGAGTTTCTCTCCATCCCCTCCTGGTCCCAGAAGCTCTGGGCTCTGAGCTGGCATCTGTGCCGAGTGGCCTCAGGCAGAGTGCTGGGGGTGGGAGGTGCCCGACGCGCCCCAGCCTGTGCGCCCCTCACTCACCGGGTCGCCCTCGACCACCTGGCCTTTGGGGTCCTTGATCACCATGACCAGCTGGGCCTGGAAGGTGATGATTAGCACGGGCCCCTGCTCCATCATCTTGCCCATGGCCAGCTGTGGGGAGCACAGAGGGGGCCCTCAGAGAGCAGCCCGGGCACCTCGTCCCGCTGAGGGCACCGTGCCCAGCACCGCCCCCGCTCCGGTGGAGCAGGCCTCCCGCCAGCGGGCATTTCCCATGACACCTTTCCCAAGGACAAGTTCAAGGCCTCAGATCAGCGCAGCCCCAGGCGAGGCTGTCTCCCGGGCTCTGTCTGGGCCACAGTTCCCACCCCCGGGGTCGATCGGGCCCCAGCAGGAGGCACTCACGTCGACGTTGTCGATGTCCAGGATGCGGGAGTGGAACTGCAGGCCCAGGGCCTTGGCCTGCTGGATCGGGTGGGCCAGCTGGCTGTACGTCTGCAATGAGAGGCCGACATGCTCGTGTGACGGCCATCGAGGGCGGTCTCGCCGAGGCGCCACGCCGCACGGAGCCAATGCCTGCGCACCCTGGCGCTGGGGGCCCTGCGTCCAGGCAGCTGCCACCCACTTGCTGGCCCGATCACACGCTTCCCTCTCCTGAGAACAGGGTCAGATCAAGGCTGCCCAATGAAAGCGGCGTTCATCAGCAAAGTGGGTGATTCTCTTGGGACACAACCCAAAACGCGCTCCCCAGGGATGAGCTGGCAG